AAAAAGAACTGAGTTCTGATCGCCATTACAAGGAAGAAACTGAAGTTTACTGCCCTGCGACTCCTATTTGATGAACTATTTTAAAGCACCACCATCACTGCCGCCTTGTCAGAAGCTCCAACTTCCTCCATGGGATATCTGTTTTAGGAATAGCTGGCACTGGACTAATGAGAGCTTTGAAAGTCTATAAAAATCGAGTTAATACATAAAAATAAGCTGCTTATATACATTACGAATGTGAATAAGAATAATATTCTTTTTGAATGAAATTGGTACATGTTCTAAACAGCTCGTTTCAATGAGGAGTTTTTGAATTCCTAGTCCAGCACCTGCTTCTTCTCTCGCTGCTCCATTTCCAGACCTGACTATAAAGCCCACCCAGTTCCTGAGCCTGCAAGTCTCCTCAGCACCATCAAAACCAGATCACTGCCAACCGCCCAACAGGGACGAACAGTCCCCCACTGGCAGGCCAGCAAACGTGCCTGAGATGGGAAATGTTGTTACATGTTATTTGTTAAGAAATAATACTGTGAAGCTTCCGTAAAGTTTATGAATATGCAGACAATGAAAGGGCTTAAAAATCAAACTGAAGATACTTTGTCTGCCCTTTATCTGTGGAGACATTAATGGGTTTAAGTACAAACTATCTGAATTATGAAATTCTGTCCTAACCCAAACCAATCTGGAGGTTACAGAAAAACTTAGCCACCGAGCCTGAAATATTTAAGTATTTAAAATTAATCAGTTCACAACACCACATGCTGCAAGAGCTACACAAAATGCACTTAGCTTCCAAACAGTCTCCCGAGATTCAAGTCATCTCTTCAGTCTCTCTTGTGGCAGTTTGTTCTGCCTCAATCTCTCTTCCATCACAGTCTTCCACTGAGGTTTTTTCCCCCTAGAAGTCATGAATTGGCCCCAGACAACATTTTGGCCGCCAAGCCCACTGAGGATTGGCTCGGTGCTATGAGCAATGGCTCTTCTTCACTGGGCACTATACACAGGAGGACCAGGTAGAGCACACACAGCTCGCTGCCACCGCACAGCTCCGCACAGACCCGACACCTGTGCAGCGGGGAGCGCGCCAAAACCAGGGGAGGGAGGAGTACAAATGACAAATAGCGGTCACAGTAAAACCATGCATGTTCTTTATTGACATCTCCAGCCTCTTCCTTACTGACCGTCACCTTCTGCAGGAGGAAGGGGCGTGGGGCATGTGTGCACAGTCCCTGCTGCCAATCCTGCGGAAGAGGAGACAATAACTTCCCAGCTAGGAAGCCTCTGCTCCGGCCTCACGCCAGACCCGCGCGCAGAGCCCGTCTCCAGAGAACATCCTTCGGAACCTTTGTCATTAGACATCAATAAAGACATCGCAAATAAGGATAACAGAGGATGATAAAAAAACCCAATGGTCGGTGCTCCCTCTGTCTTCAGAGAGGTTAAAATTCTGCATCCAAATACAAAAGAAAACCCTCGCAAATGCGCGATTTGATTTTAATGCGTTTTCGAGGTAGTTATTTTGCGGGGGCTAGAAGCTGACATACCGTGAGAAATTAACCATACATTTGCAGATTTTATTGCCATTTCCCAGCGTCTCACTGGCAGCTCTCTCCCCTTTGCGAGCAGCAGCAGCGCTACGGTGCCATCCTGATTTTATTCCCCGAGTCCTCCTCTCGCTCTCTCTCCGCGGCGATCCGAACACCTTCGCTTTGTTCCACCTCCTCCTCCTCCTCCTTCCCCCACCTCTCTCTCCAGCTGTCCATCTCTGCAGCCCTCGCCAATTCACTAGTTTTTTCCTGATCGCCCTAGAAATCCGCCGCCTTCCTCGGCTGCGGGAGCACGGGCGGAATAAACGCCTAAAATCGTCCGTATAAAAGCATGCTTTTTTACCTTCTGGATAGTTTGCTGGGTGACCTCCCCTTTGCCTCTCGGGCGAGCAGAAGCAAAGGCAACCGACATGGTGGGGTGTTTTTTACGTGTCTATAATAAATCGGTTCCCGGCTCTAATAATATTGTTATGATCCGGCCGCTCTCGCCGGGCGCGGATTCTCCGCAGTGCGCGGGGAGGGGAGCCACCTGCAGATGGTACGATCTGCGCCCCGCAATCCGCCACCGGCGACCTCGCC